CTGAAAGAGGTCTACCTGAGGTACCTACAAGTATAACATCAAAGCAATGCAGATTTGCTGTTTTCAACAAGAATTTGAAAATATCACTTTTTACCAAAAATGACAAAAATATTCATTAAAATTAGAGATTTGAAGATATCATCATGAAACGAAAAATTCTAAGAGAGGTCTGCCGAAGGTACTTATACACCAAGTATCAAAACAATAACAATTGTAGTTTTCAAGAAGACGTCGAATAAGTAACAAGTTGACACAGACGACGGACAATCACTCATACCGGTATGATAAGCTCCGCTCTAGAAAGTGGACAGCAGAGCCAAAAAGTCAGCTTAAAATGGCTTGTAGTGAAGACACCCCCACAGTGACGTGTTGGAAATATACATTCAAGCTAAATCCCAGACAACCCAAACAATGCATAGTGTTTGAACAATACAACATATACCAGTACTTCTATTATATTTCTATAATACAGCATACTATATAAAATAAAAGTGCATTAAACATTTTGTGGTGAAAAAAATCTCAAACAAAATAAATTCTGCTGAAAATTGAGCATGAAAAAAAAATAATTTCTGGAAAGTTCAGCAAAGTTTCGCTTTCAGCATAAAGTTTAGGAATTTGTTTCCCTGCCAACTTGAGACATATAGTATATAAATTATATACTTTTATGTACCAAAGATAATTACATTGATACTATAAATGATATTTTTTGAGAAATACTATAGACTGCTGTAGTTTAAAATGCATCCTCAGAGCAAATTTCCAGTGTATTGTTGTTCCTTACCTGTTCTGGTATTGGAGCTCTCTTTGTATAGATTCCAGATCCCACACTGACAGGAGTAGATGACCGAGACATACTGGATTTTCTCGGCGACTCTTTGGCGCTATACTTGTCTCTAGGTGATGACATATCATTGGAGAACCTCACTGATGAAGATGTGTCTGTTTCATTTTTCATTTCTGTAAAAGATGCCCCATCAAGACAATAATGATAAAATCAACCGATCTACATGCAACATGTGCTGACAGCCAAATGTCACACTGTGATTGGTCAAACATTTTGACCATGAATTAAAAGCATGATCTCCCACCAGAGAGATTGTGGGTTTGATTTCTGAAGGTGTAAAATCAGCCATAGTTTCAAATATGTGGTAACTAGTTTGGGGTGGCTGGATTGCATTGAAATTACCAATGTAAAACAAAACAAAAATGTCAGCAGTGAATTCAATACCGTTGGAAATGTCACCTGACACAGAAAAACACACACAAACAAGCATCCTCTTGGCTGAGATAGCTTCGCTGTCAGCAATGCACATTGCAATTAAAGATATCATCACAAAATGAACAAATCTGTGAGAGGTCCACCTGTAGTACCTATTTGTATAATATTAAAATTATTCAACTTGTGGTTTTTAACAAGAAGTCGAAAATATCACTTTTCATCAAAAATGACAAAAATATTTTTTTTAAATTAGAGAATTAAAGATATCATCATGAAATATGAACAAATCTAAGAGAGGTCTGTCCAAGGTACATATACACCAAGTATCAAAGCAATAAGAATTGTAGTTTTCAAGAAGAAAATGTAAAAAGTTGACATGGATGACAGAAGCCAGACAATCACTCATATGATAAGCTCCACTTGACAAAGTCAACAGCGGAGCTAAAAAAAACAACTTTTAAGTCGTACCTTCATCATCTTTATTAGCGAGGAATTCTTTGACTGCAATCAACCAATCAAATATACCCATGACTCGCATGTTGTTAAGAAGCATGGTAAATCTGGTGACATCCTGGGTGGAACGGTAGTGAAGCTCAGCTTGCAAAGAATTGGCACTGCTTTTATGTTTAGTTGGACTCAGAATTTCCAGGAAGACATTTGGTCTGGAATCTTCAGGTTTATCTGCGAATGAAACAATATTCAATCCAGTGAGTCCAATTTGCATATAATTTGATTATTAAGGTGTGGTACGTTTCAACGGCAATATGTAATATTGTAACTACAATAACTATTCACAGGACTGGTAAGTAAATCTTTCTACCAAATCCATGTAAACATGCAACAAAATAGTCTCACTGGCAAATTTGTGAACTTAGAACCCAGTGAATATATCCCTGTACTCAAATTATATAAAATAGTGAAATTAAATACCAGTAAAAATAAACAGTTTTGAAGTACTACGCGTTCTTTTTTTTAAAAATGCTAGTGCTTGCTAAAAAGAACAAGAACATAGGAGCCAAATAATTTTGGGCATCAGCCGTCAGCGACAAAACTATATGTAGTTAAGCATGAATCAAGATATTTTCTATAAGACGACTACCGGCATATTCAAACACGACCACTGAAACATTGTACAGGTGTGTGCAAATGATCACAGCTAATAGCATGCAATGGGTTCTTTTGATTTTTACAATTAATTAGTAATTTAATTTTTTTTTTTGAGCAAGCCAAACGTTGGTTGTTACATTTCAGAATATTCGGCAAACAAGTAAACTTTAATATATTCCCGTAAACAAAATGTTTGAAATCTGAAGATTGTGTGGTAAATACTCATGTACATTGGAACATAATTATTTCAAATAGTTGACAAATCTGAGGTAATATTTTATCCGAAATTTCGTCCTCATTCTATTGCAGTGAGTTTTCATTCTATAAGTATACCACTCACCTTGATACCTTGTATCATGTGCTACGATAGCATGCGAAACGAGATCCACCGTCTTGGACTGATCTGAGAAACTTTCATAAGAGAACTTAGATTTTATAAAATCAATCCTGGCTAATGATGCTTCATTTACATTCTTCTGTTCATGGTTTTTCAGCAACTCTACACTGACATTAACCAAGTCAATCGTCATGGAGATATTCGGCCAGGCACGCCCACTAAGAATGGTCTGTAATAGAACAAAATAGCAATGTCAATATCGCACTCACTATGCCAGTTTTTGATTGTCCCAGTAATTGGACAGTGAAGAAGGTTTGCCATGGTTCAATATGCCAAACAAACAGATCAAAAAAGTTAAAGACGTGATAATCTTAAGCAACTGACTATTAGCACTGTTCTAAATAAACTATCAATTTCAATAAAAGAAAAGAGGTGTGATAAACTTGCACACTTTTTTATCGTCAAAGAAAAACCTTCAAATGCCAGGATAATTGTTCATTACTGAACAGTCAAAAAATTCACAATAATTATATGTGTGTTCTTGCATGGTTCATATATTTTCAACGCACATTTACAATTGTGTGCATTATTTCTTCATATTTCAATATTTTGCTTGGTCACATGACATGAAAAAGTCATATAATATTATTAATATGAATCCTAATATTGTGAAAACTGTTCAAAAAGAATAGACATATTTCAGTGAGTTTCATGAGTGACAATAGTTTTCCATTACACCCAAGTATGCAAATGATGTGCGATGAAGTTCACGCAAGAATTGAAGTCGCAAGAAATGTGATATAGTCACAAGAGAAACCTAAATTTTTAGAAATCCTAAACTTAAAATTAGTGAGTCTGTGACAGAACCGATTAGTGTTCATCCTAGTCCATTTTTGGTAGCGTCAATGCTTATTTGCAAATCGCGTAATATGTGCATTCTTAGAAGCGACAAAAATCTGCATTTTGTGACACTGTGTTGATGCGCATTGAATGGAATTGCTTTCAAAGGTGCGCAAATTGCAAGGAGTTCACTTCTTCATCACATATCATGAATACATGGTCATGAATCTTGGATACCATTACTCTAATCTTATAAATCCTTGATTGTGCATGTGCAGTAGCATGCTCAGTAGTGGAAAATTTGATTTGGGCCCAAAATGTTTTGAACATACAAAGTAACTTTTTACATTGAAACAAATTAAAAAATTACAGTGTTTATAAAGGTATCTGCGTTGGATTCTGATAGATACGGTATGAATTGATCATTGAAAACAATCATAAGTATTGTAAAATATTTAATTTCCACTTGGAATTTATTTTCACTATTTTCACTGAAGGGATAAGTCAGCAAAAATGAAATTCAGCGAATATATCTTTTTTCCTATATTTTACATTCAACTCATCAAAAATCTGTGAAAATAAAAATGAATACAAAACACCAAAAAGCATTCTCAGCGAAAATTAATTCCAGCTAAAATAAAGTATTTCACAGTACAGCGTGCTCCAGTGATCAGCAACATTCGATGTTTGCTTCGAGGCGGTAACAACCGGTACTAGAGACTAAATGTTAATAAGCAGGGAGTAAAAATCAGGACTGATAGAAATGAGAGATATGTTACAGTGAGGAAGACATCTTTGAATATAATGTAGGAACACAGACAGAATAGCTAGACTGTTTTTTACATTTGCTAACTGTGAAATTTATTGAATAATAGGTCAGGTGATACCCCTGATCAAGTTACATAATGCTGATATGTAAAGAGTTGTTTTCTCAGAAATTGTGACAAGTAGATGTGAAACCAAACATATTTCTTTAAAAATCTAAATATCCTACCAAGCTATTTGAAGATTGTTACTATAGCTACACATGTAATAGAGTTGCCACTGTAAAAAATCACAGAGCAAAGCCATGTGCTGATATGAAAGTTTGTGGTCAAGACATGATGCAGCCAGCTGGCTACTGTACAGCAGGTGATCATGATGCAGGTCATATTACATGAACAATGTCCCCTAACTTCTATTTAAATAAAAATCACCATGAAATATCAGTTAATATTCTATATTAATTGCTGTGGATTATTAATTAATTTAAAAGTATAAATGAAACAAACATATATATCATAATTTTATAACAATAACAGTCCCCAAACTCCTGTGTTCATATCGCTTGTCCCTATCAGATTGGTTAAAATGAGTGACGTCATGGGTTGCATTATCCATGAAGCGAAACTGAGACTAGAAGCAGCACATCACATGGCACTAAGACCATTATATTTCCACAAGAGGGTTAAACCAGAGTTGACTCCAACGACCCCTCGACACGTGTGAGTGGGGGGAAATTCCCTCAATTAGAACAGGAAATGACATAACTACTTAAAATCATGTGACTGTAGGAACATACCATTCACAGCACATAATTGTATAGTATTGGGGGACTAGAAAATGGAAAGTGAACATTTAAAGTTGTTGATCAAAAAATTGAGAATTCCATGAAAAAAACAATACACTGACTATCAAGAGAAAGATATCTCAGCATCATTTGGCGATGGAAATCATGAAAACCAACTCTCTCCTCTTTCTCCATCCCTTCCTCCCTCCCCAAAGTAGTCTGACCAAAAACCCCTTAATATTCTTACATGTATCGGTAGATGCAGATACAGTGCAACTATACTTGCCATCTGCGATCAGCAAGGTAAGTAGTCTAGAGTAGTCTAGAATAAGTAGAGTTTTAAATACAAATTCAATTGCTTGTGCTCAGGACAAGCATGAATGATATTTAAATTGCATTTTTTACAGCATACACCACAGTCTATGTCAACTCGTGAAGGTTGAATGACACTTACGGGACACACCATGTGTGTATGAAGTAACAGTTGAAACTCCTATTTTCTATCTATCGCTGTGAACTTTCTGATCGAAAAAAATAAATAAATACAAGTGATATCACAAGACATCTGTCCACTTTTAGAATCCGGAGTAGAAGTTTGTTGCATTCATTTGAGTGCATTAGTACTCTGACAAAGATTACTTCATGCGTGAATACCTGAAAATATTGATACATGTAATGTACTAAAGAGTTAAAATCACATGTCACTCCTGTGATATCGTCAAGCACACTTAGGACACCATGAATAGACAACAGTGCAAGAAAAAAGTTCAATCACAATTAAAATCAAACGTTTATAAATTCAATGAAAAATTGTAGTTCACTGTATTTAGGTAGAAATTATTTGCACAAATATAAGTTGCATTTAACTAATTAAAACAAAATGATTTTTTTTAGCATAAGTAAAAAATAATTTAAAGTGAAAACAATTTGATTTCTCCAATGATTAGTAGTAAAAATAGTACCTCAGATTTGTCAACTATTTGAAATAATTATGTTCCAATGTACCTGAGTATTTTCCACACAATCTTCAGATTTCAAACATTTTTTGTTTAGGGGAATATATTAAAGTTCACTTGTTTGACAAATATTCTGAAAGGTAACAACCAACGTTTAGCTTGCCCAAAAATAAAATTATCCATTGAATTACTAATTAATTGTGAAAATCAAAAGAACCCATTGGATGCTATTAGCTGTGATCATTTGCACACACCAGTAGAGGTTTGTACAACTGAAAATAATGTTTCAGGAGTCATGTCTGAATATACCGGTAGACTATTATACAGCCTATAAAAATGGTTGCTGACACAACATTTGAAAGTGAGGGAAAATGAGGATAAGGGGTATCAGGTGTTGATAACTTTTTACTATGAATAGTTGATTTTCCCTCCATTGTGAGATTTTGCATATAACGTGAAAGACGTGGATCAAACATCTGCCGCAAAAAATCAGATGAGATCAATTTTGAACATAAATTTCTCATTTTATAGTTCAATGTCAATGTCAAGTTCAGAGAACTTAATTGATCCAGCAATTTTTGAGATATACTGTATTTGCTCTATTAAAAGTACATCTCCATTGAATAGAATTCTTCTTGAAAATTTTATATTTACTAGTTGAAACTTTAGGTGGACCTCAGTCAGATTTGTTCATTTTGTAAAATACTTTCAATTCTCTAGTTTTAATGAATATTTTTAAAAAAAATACTACCGGTACCTATATTTTCGACTTTTCCATAAAAATGGTTAGCCCAATTGCCCAATATTTTATATGTAGACATCTTGAGTGGACCTCAGTCAGACTTGTTCATTTCATGATGATAACTATTTTTGGCAAATACTTTAATAAAATATGTCATTTTTGGTAAAAAAATGTCTATTTTTGACTTCTTCTTGAAAATGGCTAGCGCAATTGTTTTGATATTTCTGACCTCAGTCAGATCATGGAAACATGTACATACAGTCAGAGTTCTAACGAATATAGACTGGAAATAGTGTCTTAAAACGTGTTGATGTTGACAAGAACTCAAGCACAGAAACTACATGACAATGTTCTTCTATACTCTTTACAGACTCTGGTTAGTGATCACAATAAGACGACACTTATCTTCCATAAGTATTCAACTGCAAATGCACATTACTATCACCAATGAAAATGGCTAATATTGTCCTAGTCTGTGTACATCTTACCATCACATGTTATATTGCAACGTGTACATCAAACAGTTGTCATTCTGATATACAAGATTACACACTTCTAGACTGTTCTGACAAAGGGCTGACATCAATACCAGAGAACATGCCTTCAATCACCACAGTGTTAAACCTAGAAGACAACAGCATCACAACAGATGGCTTCAAATTTCCCAAACTGCCAAAGCTGCATTATTTAACCCTTGCTGGAAACCCGATAGATGACATCAAAAGAACTTCCTTCAAGACAATTCCCAATCTGAAGACACTGTCTATGTATTTCACGGAAATCAGACATATTGAAGAAGGGGCATTTTCAGAGCTTAAAATGTTACAGAGCCTAACATTGTCAAATATCATTATACAACATATACCATCAAAAACATTTCAAGGCCTTGAAAGACTAGAATTTCTTGATTTAAGTTCAACCTACATACTGGAATCTATTGCAGTAGATGCTTTCTCAGATCTACACCACCTCAAGTATCTAGACCTGCATCAGAATGCACTAACAGTGATAGACACAGCGGTATTTCAACATCTCAGTACTCTACAGTATTTAGATCTTAGCAACAACAAATTATCTGAGATTCCAGATAATATTTGCAGGTACCTGCCAACACTTCAAACCTTAGTACTCAGCAATAACAACAAGTTATCGTCCTTCGCGATTAGAGAAACATGTGCTAATCTCACTAATATCCAGCTAGATTCCACTAATATAACAATCGTGAACCAAGAAGACTTTGATGCTGTTTCTGGTCACACTCTCGATGGTGTATCATTCTATCAAACACCATTGCAAGAAATTAAAGTCGGTACTTTCGCTGGATTCCAGATCAACCGATTTTCATTTGGTCATAAAAACTCTGATTTTGTGAATGTCTTGAGAGGGCTGACAGACTGCAATATGAATCAGCTTGCTATTTCTGGATTAGAAGACAACTTTCCATCTCTCTCAACTTCCACATTCCATGTAGCCATGGAAACCACATTAGGTGAGACTCTACAACAACTGACTATTTCATTTAATCACATAAAAGCAGTAGAAGACTTTGCCTTTATAGCCTTCCCGAACTTACACGAGTTGAATCTTACACTGAATCATATCAAAACACTCGGGAAAGATGCTTTTACCAATTTAGTCTTCCTGCAAACTTTGAATTTAAAGTCAAATTTTATCTCACAAATTCCTGATGGCATCTTCGACAATCTCCGAAATTTGCGATATTTAAATCTCTATGACAACCAGCTTGCATTTCTTAATAAGGGTGTTTTTGATAATTTGCTTAAACTGCAAGAATTTGTTTTCGGAGGGCAGCAGGTTTCCATGATTGATGCCAATCCAACAGTGTTTTTACATCTTAGTAATTTACACACCATTAGTATAACAGAAAATATCATAAACGATGAACTTAAACTGCCAATGTCCAGCTTAACAAAGTTAAAAAGATTAAACTTCAAGAAAATATCAGCACTACAGAATGATATTTTACACGGATGTGAGAACGGAACAAGTTTAGAAGATATAGAAGCTGACGAGTCACTGTGGTTCGTTGACCACATACCCAGTATCAATGATTGCTTATTATCTGTGAAAAGAATGAGTATTAGTGGTGTTGATCTCATGCGGGGATGGAAAGTATGTTTCTGGGATTTACGTCCTGGCATATATCTTATGCAGAACTTAGAAGAGCTAATCCTGTCACATGACCAGATTAGTGATTTAGGAGATAATTGTTTTGAACTCATGAATAAACTGATACGTCTGAATCTGAGTAACAACAAGATACAGATGTTGCGGTCAGGATTGTGGAAAGGGCTTGAGAGGTTAGATATGCTGGACTTACGGCATAATGCCATCACAAGGATAGAACAATCAGCTTTTCAGACACTACCATCACTTAAACAACTCTACCTTGGAGATAACCCTTTTGTGTGTGACTGTGACCTGCGATGGTTTCAAAAACAACTTTCCACGAATATCTGGCAGCTTAGACCTACTGAGTACCAAAATATGATATACTGGTTGCAAGATTACCAGTGTAAATTACCAGAGACGTTACACGGAACATACGTAACAGATTACAAGCCATCAGACTTTGCATGCAGTCTCATGGCAGTAGCTGGGCTAATAGCAGCAAGCACTATGACACTCTTTGCAATCACTGTTGTAGTTTTGAGACGATATCGATATTGCATACGTTACAGATGGTTTCGTTTCAAACTGCGTTACTTTGGTTACAGAGCTCTAGAAGGAGAGGATGAAGAATACCTATACGACGCATACATAACGCATAGTGAGGATATACAAGATATTGATTGGATATGTGACCACTTCATGCCACGTCTGGAAAACGAATTCAATTTCAGAATCACTTTTCGTCATCGCGATTACATAGGTGGGACGAACAGAATTGAGAACAGTAGGGAGTCGTTACAGCGAAGCAGACACACTGTGTTTGTCATGACAGAGAAGATCTTAGAATCTGGCATATTCATGTTTGAACTTCAATTTGCTTATCAAAAACTAATCGAGGATAAGAAAGATTTGATAATTCTTGTAGAGTTGGAGGAAATTCCTAATGCTGAATTACCAGATTTATTACACCTTCTATTTTGTTCTAAGGACAAAATTAAATGGACGGAAAACGAACAAGGGCAGATGCTCTTTTGGGAGAAAATTAGACATCAGATCCAAAGTGACAATAGAGTAGATGCCCGTAAATGAACCCCCCACCAACTGCCTTTCCTAACAATCATCGCTGTAATTACGCGTCGTGCTTGATTTTTGCATAGTACGTGACAATTTGAATCACAGTTCATAACATCTTACCTGGCCTACTGGTTCTTCACAATACGATGTGACTGGTTTCTCAAATTCTTCTAGCGGTTCTCCCAGATTCTTATCCAGAAATCCTTTGATCAAATTGAACTGCATGCGATCCATGGAACAATGAATGGACGACAGCATTCCATTGATACTGAAATTAGGAACTGTTTGGGGGGGAAAAAGTATTACACTTGGAATAACAGATCTATCATGATAGTATTTTTGGTTGACAAGACAATATCATTAAATACACACAATTTACCTTTTCACCACCAGTTTGCTTTTTTCATCACAAATTTACAAAATAGTCCCATTTATAGTCTGCACTTCAGAAGATTGGGACAAAAATAGCACAATTTTTGAGTAAAAATGAAAATTGATTTATATTTTGACTGTTGGCTCAAAAATTAGGGTTCAATTTTAGAAATATTGAAGAATATAAAAAAAAAATTGCAGAAAAATTTGGGTGAGATAGTCTGGTAGTGAAAAGGTTAAGCATTAAAGGAGGAGCTGACAATCCCAGAACTGCATCATGGGATACCACGGAATATAATATCTTTTTGACATTTACTTCACCAAGGGGTCATATCAGTTCCAACTTTGCGGTTTAGACCGCAGTTACTGCAGTTAACTGTAACCGGACGCGGTAATTTTGATGAATGAATATTAAACTTTACCAAGATGGCAATCTAATCTAATCTAACTTATAATCTAAACATTAATTACATGTAATATCTAATAATAACAAATGAACTTACCAATTCTGCTGAAGTCCGCGTTTAGATTCCTTTCAACCTGAAGTTTCAACATACACGTTTTCTTCAGCAGCTTTCCACCCTACAGTACATGCAATGACAAATAATAATTAGCCTGTGTTCAAATTACTGTAAAATACTTTTTTTTTTGCTTGGAATTTATTTTCACTGAAGGAATGAGTCAGTGAAAATAAAATCCAGCGAATATACCTTTTTTCCTATATTTTACATTCAACTTTCAAAAATCAGTGACAATAAATTCCATACAAATACCCAAAATGTCGTATCAGCGAAAATTAATTCCAGCGAAAATAATCTACAGTACATTACAAGATGATAATGGTGTTTACAGATTATTTTTATAAAATAGGCATAAAATACAAGAAATATGTCCTAAACATTTATTTTTTCTACAGTGAGTGATAGCCCTGAGAAATTAGAATGAGCGGAAGAGGAACAACTGGCCTAAGAATAAACATAAAGTGCCACAGTCATTTTGTGTATCGAATATATTTTACACATGTTATATACGTCACATAGAACCAATGCTAAACATGGTACATTGTATAAATTTAACCAAGTTGAATTATTTCTCATCTCACCTTACTCTTAACAATAAATGTTGGGAAGACCATAACGGATTGTTGGATTTCTTTTGTCTCCTCTTGCGCTTCCAGTCTTTCAGCAGAGTACAGGTACATATCAACCAGATCTATGTGCATCACATCTAAAAGACATCGATGAGTAAGAGGGCTCGGACCAGTGGGTTGCTGACCATCACTGGGGGCCTGCTGATTCTGACCGCCACTAGTGGATTGCTGATTCTGACCGGCATTAGTGGGCTGTTCACTACCCAATTTCCAGCTTCCCCCAAGACCAGCAGTTTCACCGAGTGGTGATGTTAAAGGCGTAGTGAAAGACGAGTCTATACTGGATTCAACACTTGCCGGAGATCGTGCTGTTGTGTCGTCTTTTTGCCAACCTGGTTGTTGAGGTGGGCTCATAAAAACAGATGAGGCTGGGACATAGTTTTCAGTGAAGACATCTGAAATCAAATTATTATATTTATTTAGAAGGTTGCCCTTGGCAAATAAAATGTCATATACCGGGGATAATAGGTGGTTTTCGTTCAACTGCGAGATCTTGCGAGTTGTTTGAAAAACTTGCGCCAGACGTCTGTCGCAAAAAACGAATGATTTGATTTTGATCTTGAACTTCTTTATTTCGTAGCTCACATCGAATAGCCGAACTTTGGCAGAAGAATATTGCATTTGAATACCCTTACTTCATCGAAATTGACCATCATCAAATGTGTACAGCACATTATTAATTATTAAGCATGAAAATATCCTTAATACGCGTTTGTCGAATCTCACGCGATGTTTGACGCCACTACGACGCTATGACCTTTGTTTGTCCTGTTTTTACGTTCGATTTCACGCATAACGCAGGATCTCAAAGTCAACGGAAAATGGTCTATTCAATGCTATTGATCACATGGACACATTATGAATGACATTTTCAGAAGTATTTATCATATTAATTATTCATATGTATTTATCATATTAATTATTCATATGTACTAACTTTAATAATTCATTGATACATGCAAGAATAGGTCTCCAACTCACTGCAGGCCAATCGAATACTTTAACATTATACTTTCATGGATCAATAAGAATTGAATGGATTCTATCACACTATATGGAAATAACTAGTATTATAATAAAACGAATATTTCCGAACATGAATGAGTTTCTGAGTAAACTAGTCTTGTTACTACAATTTCAAAGACACCACAAATTAAATGTGAATACGATAAACTGTGTAAATTTTGCTGTTAAAAATATGTTCACAATTTCACGATTTCAGGATTCAGGTGCGACAGACAGACAGACCTCCCTTTAAATCATTTTACCGTATTTCACACATACTTACCAAGATCTTTCAATATAACTGACTTGGTGCCCGGTGAACCTGCATAAAGAAACTGATTCTTGATTGTTAGGTTTCCAAGGTTAGCAACAAGAACTTCTGTAGAGGAAGAACTTTTAGGAAACAGAATTACAGGAGAACCAGCTTCCACATCAAGTTTTATCCGAGATGCAGTCTTCTGAGAATCTTTAATCTGTGTCAGAAAAAAATAAATTAGTCTTTGGTTTAATCTGATAGAAAAATAAAATATTAGTTTGGGCTTTTTTATAATTTTTTCAGTTCAGTTCAGTTCAGGCTTCTTTTTTATTTAGATTTGTTTTTAGTTTTTTAAAATGCATTAAATTACTTATTTATCATAAATTTTATTTTATTATTTATTTGCTTGTAAACATTAGTACTGCTTTACATATACTGTGGAATTTGCTTGTTTTTTCTTTAGGTATCAGTGAATAACTATTTTGTATTATTAATACCGGTACTTGGATTATTAAACTCAGAAAAAGTTGTTGTTATTGATCTCTTGGAGGGGCCTGGAAAGTGATTAGTTCAGCTAAATCACCTCCCACAATGATTACATCTTGTGTAACTCTTCAACAACACAAGAAGATTCATCACTTATGAATTTAGTGTCATTTACCAAATGTTCCATGTCCACCACCCTGTAAACATGGCTGCAGGACTGGGAGAGAAAAGGAGGGCTCTTGTCTGTTTGCAGGATGGAGAGTGTGGCCCCACCAAATTTTAGTGCAGGTTTTTACATATTTTCAGTTTTGTAATTTCTGTCTGTATATTGTTACCCCAGCCACCCAATTTTAATACAGGTTTTTACATACTTTCAGTTTTGTAATTTTTGTCTGTATATTGTTACCCTAGCCACCCAATTTTAATGCAGGTTTTTACATATTTTCAGTTTTGTAATTTTTGTCTGTATATTGTTACCCCAGCCACCCAATTTTAATGCAGTTTTTTACGTATTTTCAGTTTTGAAATTTTTGTCTGTGTATTTTTATCTTAGCCACCCAATTTTAATGCAGTTTTTTACGTATTTTCAGTTTTGAAATTTTTGTCTGTATATTTTTATCTTAGCCACCTAATTTTAATGCAGGTTTTTACGTATTTTCAGTCATGTAATTTTTGTCTGCATAATGTTACCCCAGTCGCCCAATTTTAATGCAGGTTTTTACGTATTTTCAGTTTTGTAATTTTTGTCTGCATAATGTTACCCCAGCCGCCCAATTTTAATGCAGGTTTTTACGTATTTTCAGTCATGTAATTTTTGTCTGCATAATAGTACCCCAGCCACCCAATTTTAATGCAGGTTTTTTCGTACTTTCAGCGTATGCTAGCCAGCTTAGGTTCTAGTGTAAGTTTGATAAAATTGTTTGCTGTGTCTTTTTGTGCTTTTTACCATATTTATATTTTTGAATAAAGCAAATTATTTCCAATGTCAACAGCTTACCTTGATCTCTTTACCTTTACTAACAGCACTAGTATGTCCCATGTGATTATGCAGGTTATTAAAATGTTCACAGAATGCCACAGTTTCACTCTGAAATCGATGCGTATGGATGTATCTCACTGATGACATTCTTAATTCAACCTTAATATCACACTCTCTCACAAGGAAAGGATCATCACTACCATACCTGCAATGTAATAAAACATAGCAAAAGTAAAAGAACCTTGCCCATACTTTAATATCCTGATAATACATTTTATATTTTTCAGGCATACATGGCCCTATAACACATAGACACCTGAATGCAATCAGACCTCATATTCTGATGCCAGTAATCGCTTCACTTTAATGTCACTTGCTCAAATGAATCAAGAAAGCTAATTATTGTTGCACCAGACCTAAGTTCAAATCCAACTTTAGGCTGAACATCGAAAGGGTCGACCCCTACCCTGGGTGAGTGTGCCACAGACTCAATGGGAAGGCCAATTCCACTGGCCGAGATTCATTCACTAACGAATGCAATTTTTGGGGGAACCTTGGTTAAGATCCGCAGGTGCGCATGTTCGACCTAGCCTGATTGACTCCACAATAGCGCATTAAAATTGCAATCATCATTTTCCCACTTACACCCACATACAATTTTTTTTTCCTTCTTTTTTTTTTCAAACCTTTTCACCACCAGACTTTCTGGCCCAAATTTTCCCACATTTTTTTTCTTTCATTCTTCAATATTTCTGAAAATGAATCCTAATTTTGGAGCCAACGGACAAAACTCGCTATTTTTGTCCCAATCTTCTGAAGGAAAGTTCAGACTATAAACGGTGATATTTTGTGAATTTGTGATGAAAAGAAGGAACTGGTGGTGAAAATTGTTTTTTATTTTTTTTTTACTGAAGACCTCCCTGTGCAGCAATACTGACACAACACAATTTTTGGAGTTCTACTTTGACCCAAGATTACGATTAAATCAGTTCAGTTGAAAGACACACTGATTCTGATGTATTTCAATTGAAATATACAAGCTAAGAGAAAACACAAAATTGAATACGTACTTGAATATATCAAATCCTAAGGCCTCTTCCCCCGTGGTGACAAACCTCTCTCTGTACAATTCCCCATATGGTGTTAAATCCATTAATGACACACGTCCCAGGCTTCCTGACATTGACATGTTGCCATCTATCAAACCAACATGAGCTGACAGTTTAGACACGTTGGCTCTGGCCAATTCATACTGCGGCTTGTTGAGAATAAGCGTCAGTGATTGAACTTTGACATCAAATTCAGAGTTCACTTCCTGTTCCTCTTGATCATGTGACTCGTCTATGTCTGGTGAAAGATGATATAATAAAAACAATTCGCCGGTGTTGTCTCTGTGTTTTTTTGTTTTACCAAGTAATATCCAACTTTTATTTTATTAAATGACAGAGGCAAGGTTTTTTTTTTTTTTGGCGTGTTTAAATCACAGTTTGATATCGGTAGGTAGGGATTATATAGAGAATAGAAAATCACCGAAAACAAAATTGAAACGAGGATATCGATAAGGAAATAAGATATGACAAGATTCTCCCAACTATGATTGACACAACATGACAGAATTTGTTATTTTTACACCCACTTTTTGTGATGGAAGCTCATAGTATATCAACAAGTTTTCATAAACTATAACTTTCCCAACAAATATTTCTACATGCAACTGAGTCAATTAACAATAATTTTCATCATTAGCGTATTCCAACTTTAGTATTAGATGTATAGTACCTCCCACTGATCATTGTGATCACCATGACAAATGATAAAATCAGTTGGTATGGCAACAAATCCGAAACTTGCCTGCAATGGATGTCAGGGTGATTGATCACTGCAACAAACATAATTCCTTATGATGTTTAAAGGGGCCCGTGAAAGGTTTTCAACAATCATACAAACTAGAAATGCTTATAGAGGTCAGGGTTCAGTGAGATTCATTTAACAATCATACAAAGTAGAAATGCTACTTTAACATTGAACTTACATGGATTGATAGTTTCAACACTGTCTTCACTTTGGACACTAGAGGGTGGTATGACCGGGGATACTTTTCCACCACTAGTACTTGCAGTGTCAGGTGATACAACTTTGCCTTTAGGTGTACCAATACCAAAGAATGTTAACAAGACAACCCATGTCTGTAAATTAATGGTTGTATCTAATGAATTGAAGTCAATATCCACCAGTCTGTTGATCTGTAAAAAAGCAAACACAAGATTTCACAAAATTAAACATGATTCTTTCTGCTCGCTTGCTGTATATACTGTGAATTCTTTGGAGTTATTACGAGAATACCACAAAGTATGTATAAAGGCAGTACTGTGGTTGTATTGACAGACAAGTAGTAGAGGTTAATGCGTTCCTGTACTGCCCGAGTGCATATTTTGCAGTATTCTTGCGATAACCTTATTGCGATATCAGTATAATTCATTTTTTTTCTGCTAGTAGAATTTCTACTAGAAATAATTTAATGAGAGAAAACAGTTTGAAAGGACAACGAAAAACGTTAACAAAATTGTGTGTAGTAAGGTGACATAGGAGATTATTATTAAAATTAGTAGAGCCATATTTACGTACTACATTGTATACAACTCAAATAAACTGATTATTAAATTCATGAATTTTCACTCACTGATCGATACTTTGTGTAGAATTCTGGACATTTTCTGTCGACAAGAAGTAAATTGATATGCACCAGTGCATCATGGGATTTGTCATCTGACAGATCCTCTGACGATTCTCTGATAGATGGTGGGGGTGTTGCTGGACAACCATCAGCACTGTTGTACTCAGCCGATTTGGAACGTGGTGGTAGTTGCAAGAGGAACTTCTTCTTGCCATGCGAATCATGGTATTTGGGTTGAAGACTGGCAGGCAGGGAGGATGCAGTGGTGTGTGCAGGTGTGGGCTTTGTCCTTATCGGACAAGAACTTGAGAGAAATGCTGGCCCTTCTTGCTGCATTGATTGTGGTTTTTGTGGCTGGGCAGTTGACACCATAAGGTAACGATGTTTTGATTCAGCAGGTTGCAACAAATCCTCCATAATCAAGGATCCTAAAGCAACCTGAATGGAAGTTGTATACGGCGTGGATTTCTCGAGATTCACTTTGAAATCTTTGAAGGCGAGCTCGACCAAATCCTGGTTGCCATCCCCGAAGTCATCTTGTAAAGTAACATCCAATACAGGCAGTTCAAAGTCTGCAACTACTTTTAAAGATGCATCCTGTGTGGGACTTGGAAGATTGTCTGATGCTGTGGGATGTTCCCCTTCTTCAAATCTCACAGTTTTTCTATCAGGTGATAAGTCATCTGACTGCTGAGAAGAAAGACTTGTAGCAGAACTCGCTGGAGGGATGGAAGCATCAGATCTCATTTCATCAGGATTCCCATTCTTGTCGTTAAAAGTTAAATTATCAAGTGTCTGCAAAACCTGTTCAAAGACGTGCTTTGCAAAAACCACCTTCAAAGGGGTGACTACTCGGCCTGTCACTTTTAATGTACTTTGCGTTGCTTCACCACTGTCTTGAAGGTCTTCAAAATGAATGTTAGTCGCTTCATCTTGATCACCGAGCTGAATTTCTGATGGAATCTGATCAATGGTCAGTTCAATAGTAGTGTTATGCAGAATGGGATCACCACGCCTCGTCGACATTAACGCATCTGATAGCTGGACATCTTTTTTAAGACTGTCCATTCTAGCTTGTCGACTTAAATAGTCACTATTGATTGAAAACACGTTGATATCTCGTATTTCCATGTACATTCTTTCAATGCGGTCATCCACCCAATGCATCGACTCGTGTGCAGCAGTCCTCCGCATCACATTGTGCAGATAAATCTTACCAAGGTGTCCAACAAGAAGTTCAGAGCTTGTTGGTGTCCGTGGGAAAGCCACCACGGGGGTCTGCATTACGATATCCAATTTCAATTTGTTTGAAGCACTCTGTGCCAGCGAGTCATCGGCAAAGTAGCCTTCACCGCCATCACCACTGATAAGGCTTTCGCTAAGCGACAATGTACTTTTCCTAACGGGTGAGTCAAGGACGCCACTGAGTGAGGACGGACCCATAGATGACGTCAGATAATCTCTCTTTGTAACTATACCCTTGGCAACCTCAGTGGCTGCTTGTGTTATAGAAACTGCCAGTGAAGACATGTACATCTTGAACTCACTCGCACACGAGGAAAGTTCAGCAATGAATCTTGGCGAGTGGGTGTAACACAAGGACGCCATTCTGAGCTTCAATTCTGTTCCTTGACTCCCCACATGCCTGTATGGGTATGAAGAAAACGGTGTTCCGACATCACTATCTAGAAAAGCAGACCTTGTGGTAGATTCCAAAGGTGAAGAAGGCTGGCTATTAGCCCGGGACTTGTGGAAGGAAAAATAGAAAGCCTTGTTTGTCGAATCAATGTCCGCGTCTGTTGCTGCAAACACAGTTGAATCATAAGCTGTCTTGTACATTTCTGCAGGAATTGGCTCTGGTTTAGTCACACCAATGTCACTCTGTATAGAATCTAGGTCTTGAGAGAGTACATCATCGCCAATACTGAATACTTTACTGTGTATGGCACCCTCTGGTGTTAGATCCACCACTTGTAACCCGCCAAGAAAACCATCCACCTCAATATCAGCCCCTAGGGGTAGGGGTAGAAGTAGAAAGAGAAAATCATAAAATCAATCCTTTCTATGTAAAATTTGTACAGATATATGGATCAATGCACAAATTAGCAGAATGTATGTGTAGTGAGGTATTAACTACAATGTCACTAAAGAGACACCACAGTAAAGATTTCTAGTAATTCACATGAAACTTTACTATTATTACTCAAAAAGCATGGGTTAGCTTGTTTCTAGCCTGACAAGTTGATCCCCTGGGGATCGCAGCAGTCCAGGGCGCCACCTACGCCAACTTGTCAGGCTACCTTGTTTTGAGCTTGTATATTACCCATAATCCTCTATTATTATACAAACAGCATGGTTACCATGTTTTGTCCTGGTATATTACCGGTACCCATAATCTTCCATAATTACACAAACAGCATAGGTCACCCTATTCTGACATTGTGTATTACCCACAAACAGCATGGGCTACCCTGTTCTGTTCATTATATTACCCACAATTCAAACAGAAATGTAGATCTATCATATCGTAATGCGGCAAATATTCAAATTCTGTGTAACCCAGAAACAATATATTTACACTTCTTGTTTACATTGCATGACAACCATCTTAGCATATTTCCTAATTATTCATATAAATAAAATAAAACACATTTTTGACTAAATACATCAACAAAGCAAGCTTTTAGCTGAAGTATGAAACTGAACATACCTACTGATGCTTGGATGTGGGCACCTGTCATTGTGGCTGTCCCAACCTTCCTCGCTATCAGTTTGTTGTCTTTCCGTATACCTCGTAACAAAAGTACATTTAAACGATGAAAATCTGCAGTGAGCTCAGTCCGTACGGAGTCTGATGATGTGATCTGTGAAAGATAAACATTGTGTACATTGTGCGTTGATTACATTTGTATATTAGATTTGAAGCAGTTTTGTATTACAATTCTCGTTGTCATCTCTCATATTCAAATATGCCAAGCCAATTAGAGGAATGTCACAACACAATTTGTATATGTAAACAAAGCAACTAGGTTGGCTGCACCTCAGTTGCAGTTCTTACAGCTCAGTTTTTTTATGCTGTGGTTTATTTATTATACTCCTCACTGCTCAAAGTTCGAGGCTGTGGTTTAGTAGTAATTTTATCAATCTTTTCTACTTGGACACTCTAATGAGAATATTACCCATCATGCAACTCACCTTATTAATATGTTCAGTTGATATAGTGAGATTGGACTCCATGGATTTACCACTCATCTTCATCTTACTCTTTGAAGTGGGCAATACTCGTTTGAAGAATCCTAACAACTCCACTACTGTCTCTTGATTAGCTGTGTAGGAGAATAAAATACATTATTAAATCTTTCAATGCATCTACGTAAGTTACAGCACACCACAATTTTGTGATATTACCCAGGGTATCATGCATCCTGTGAATTCCACATATAAAACAGTTACTTGATATTTCCAAGATGGAAAACTTGAGGGGCACTAAGACCACTTAACCACATCATCATAAGCAATGTAACCAAGTTCCCTGCTTGTATCAGGATGATGATGCATATCTATCTAACTGTCTTTCAAGTTTCCAAAAAAAAAATGTTTCCAGTTTTTCTGCATGTTGCTCTTCCCTGAGTTTCTAACGTCCCCACTCCTCACATTACATGTAACAGTATTGATCATGTAATTCATTGTTCTGGTCGTATGTAAATCCACATATGTCTCTTTGTTTTTATGCAGATTATAAATTGCTACAGTTGTATTCATATGTAGAGTGTAATCACTAAATATAATGTACATAATTTGTAAACCACTATTGTAAATCAGACCCTGCACCTTGGCAAAAACTGTGCTGCTTTAGTTAAGGTTCCATGTCTGGAGATGAAGAGAAGACAAAGTCCTTCCTCAACTATGGCAAAGGGTAAGTTTAATAACAGCAGGTACGGCCTCTAA